CTCATCCTCCCCCTACCATTCCCAATATTGTCTCCCATACGACATCTCTGAATTCCGAAACACTTGAAGCAATCTCTGAATATATTGCAGAGACCAAACCATCAATGGACACTGATCCACCTTCCGCTCTTTCTCTCTCCTCTGCTCCATCTGCGCAACTCCTTTCTTCACAGCGCACCGTTTCCTTCGCTGCTTGAACATTTTCCACTGCCTCCGCATGTGGACTTTTTCTAACCCTTCTAGTCCGTAGGAACCCTTACCTGCGGATTTCAAGTATCTTTATCATTGCCAATCATGGCCTTTTTACAGTGGAATATACGCGGCCTCAGGGGTAATCGGGGTGAGCTTCAGATGTTACTCTCCCAGTTTGCCCCTGTTGGTGTTTGCTTACAGGAACCAAAATTACACTCTGCTGTTATTTCTCACATCTCAGGCTATAATTTATTGTATTCTTCAGATCTTTCCTGATGGGACCTTTAATGAAAGTGCCCTTCTTCTCCGCACTGATATTCCGTACCATCAGCTATTTATTCATACTTCGCTGCATTACACAGCAGCCGTATCCACTTACATAGGTGGTATACGCTCTGTTCTTTATATCTTCTCCTTCTCGGGCATTATCTATTCCGGATTTTGCCTTCCTTGTTTCGTCATTACCGCCACCGATTCTGTTACTTGGTGATTTTAATGCCCACCATTTCCTCTGGGGAGGGTCTCACTGTGATTCCCGTGGAATTCAGTTAGAGGCTTTCTTGCCACCCACCCCCTCCATGTTTTAAATACAGGTACTCACACCCATTTTGATCCTCGGACTCATACTCTCTCTTGCATCGATCTCTCAGTTTGCTCTTCCTCCGCCGCATTGGACTTTACTTGGTCTGTTCTCCCGGACTTACATGACAGTGATCATTTCCCAATCATTCTTACTTCCCCTTCATATTCGCCACCTCTTCGCACCCCACGCTGGCAATTTAATCGGGCAAATTGGAACCTTTACTCACACCTGACTGTTTTTAAAGAGGTTCCTTCTTCGTCCTCCATCGATGAGCTTTTACACCTCTTCTCGTCCTCCGTTTTCACCGCAGCTTCTCATTCTATACCCCAAACTTCGGGCAGGCATTCTCGAAATGCTTGCCTGGTGGTCTCCTGCTTGTGCTCGTGCAGTACGTTTGAAGCGCGCTGCATGGGGCAGGTACCGGTACAATAGAACCACAGAGCGACTCCTTGATTTTAAACAGAAGCGTGCGATCGCTCGCCGTGTCATCCGTGACGCTAAACGCACTTGCTGGCGAGATTATGTCTCCACCATCACCTCTGCTTCCTCTATGAGTGCCAGTCTGGAAAAAAGTACGAAAACTGAGTGGTAAATATTCTCCTGACCCGGCTCCTGTTCTGCGGGTTGCGGTGTTGATATAGCAAACCCACTAGATGTTGCCAATGAAATTGGCAATCATCTGGTCCGTATTTCTCAGGGACTCCATCTATGCCCCTCATTTCTTTCCTCAAGTCTGCCAGAGAGTTAGCACCCTTAGACTTTTCTTCTCTCAGAGAAGAACAGTATAATGTGCCTTTTACACTTCAAGAACTGGAGCAACACTCTCAGCTTGTCGATCATCGGCAGCTGGGCCCGACGACATTCATATTCGTATGCTACAACATTTACATCAGTCAGCCCTTGCAGTCCTATTACGCCTTTACAATCTTATTTGGTCACAAGGAGTTCTTCCACAGCTGTGGAAATCCGCCATTGTTCTCCCTTTCCGCAAACCAGGCACTACGGGACATGAAACCTCCCACTATCGTCCCATTGCTCTTACCAGTGCAGTTTGCAAAGTAATGGAACGTCTAGTAAATAGACGTTTAGTGTGGTATTTAGAGACACACAACAGTCTCTCCACTCGTCAATATGGCTTTCGTAAGGGACGTTCTACCATAGACCCTTACTGCGCTTGGATACGTTGTTCGTAATGCCTTTGCGAATAACCACTCAGTTATTGCCATATTTTTTGACCTTGAGAGGCATATGACACAACTTGGAGGTATAATATTTTAGCCCAAGCCCACTCCTTAGGCCTTCGAGGCAATCTACCATCCTTCCTTAAGAACTTTTTAACTGACAGGCATTTCCGTGTTCGGGTTAATAATGTGCTCTCCCCGGACTTTGTCCAAGCTGAAGGTGTCCCCAGGGATGTGTTCTGAGCACAACACTTTTTCTCCTTGCTATTAATGATTTGGCCTCTAGTCTTCCATCAAATATTTGGTCATCACTCTATGTTGATGACTTCGCTATTGCCTGTGCAGGCGCTGACTGTCACCTCCTTACAGTTTCTCTCCAGCATGCAGTCGACCGTGTTTCCAATTGGGCCACCACACATGGGTTTAAATTTTCCAGCACTAAAACCACCAAATCACTTTCACTAGACGCTCTGTCATCTCTGATCATCCTTTGTACCTCTATGGCTCACGTATCCCTGAACGTGATACAGTCAAGTTTCTGGGCCTCCTCTTTGATCGTAGGTTATCCTGGAAACCTCACATTACCTCTCTGAAGGCAACTTGTCACAGCCGGCTGAACCTTCTTAAAACCTTGCTCATCTTTCGTGGGGAGCTGATCGTCGAACCCTCCTTCACCTACATTCCACCCTTATTTTATCGAAACTTGATTATGGTGACCAGATCTATTCAGCGGCATCTCTGCTACTCTCTCTAGCCTTAACCCCATTCATCACCAAGGATTACGTTATGCCTTGGTGCTTTTCGCTCTTCCCTGTCGAAAGCCTCTATGCAGAAGCGAACGTTCCATCCTTATCCGATCGCCGTGATGCCCATTGCCTGCGCTACTATGTACGCTCTCATGATCTCCGCAATCCTTCCATTTATAGAATGGTCACTGATATTAGTAGACATTCTTTATTTGTTCGCCGCCCCTGCTTACTCCATCCCTTCTCTCTTCGCCTTCATTCGCTCTTGTCTTCTCTTCAACTACCACCTTTCTATGTACATGTAGCATCTCACTTTTCCCTACCCCCCTGGGAAGTTCCAGCTGTTCGAGTCTGTTCTTTCTCCCTCCCTTGCTCGAAAGCCCAACTGTCTACGGTCGCTTCCCGCTCTCTTTTTCTTGACCACTTTCACTCTCATTCTCATGCCATTGCTGTGTACACAGATGGCTCTAAGTCTTCTGACGGCGTGGATTCGCAGCAGTGTTTCCGGACAGCGTCGTACAAGGGCATTTACTATCTTCAGCTAGTATTTTTACTGCTGAATTATATGCCATCCTTACAGCACTTATCCGTATTGCATCTATGCCTGTGTCATCATTTGTGGTTGTCTCAGACTCCCTTAGTGCTTTACAGGCTATACTAAAAATTTGATACACCTCACCCCTTAGTCCTCCGTATCCAACTTTGGCTACGCCGCATCTTTACTAAGCATAAAGATATTGTTTTTTGTTGGGTCCCTGGTCATGTTGACGTACAGGGCAATGAACAGGCAGACACTGCTGCGCGGTCAGCAGTACATGACCTACCAGTTTCTTATAGAGGTATTCCATGTACGGACTATTTTGCTGTAATATCTTCCCACCTTCACACCCGTTGGCAACAACGTTGGTCTACTATGCTCGGCAACAAACTTCAGTCTATTAAACCGAGTATAGGTTACTGGCCGTCTTCTTATCACCATGTCGAGGTTGGGAGACTACTCTCTCCCGTCTTCGCATTGGCCATACTCGTCTTACTCATGGATATCTCATGGAGAGGCGTCTTGCTCCTCTCTGTGAGAATTGCCAAGCTCCATTATCAGTCAGCCACATTCTGTTGGACTGCCCACTTTATCAACGAGCACGCAGAATTTACCTCTGTCGTCGTCTTCGCCCCGTGCTCTCTCTTTACCTTCCCTTCTCGCTGATGGACCCACCTTTCATCCGGACTCTCTCATTGACTTTTTGACAACGACTGACTGACTTCACAAATTCTGATACTTTCAGCCCTTTCTACTTGTATCTCTTGCTACCCTCTACCCCCGTACTATCCCCTGCCCCGCTGTTTTCTGTAACCTGCTGATCATCCCCCCTCCCTTCTGCCATCCAATTCCCTTGCTTCCTTCCCTACCCTGCAGCGCTGTATAGCCCTTGTGGCTTAGCGCTTCTTTTTGATTATAATAATAATCAAAAATAAACAAATCATGCCATGCATCCGATACACGTCAACTGGTGAGTCTAATATTCTTTCACAAGTGCGCTGATATTATTTATACCATTTCTACACTAATGCAGTAGTCTGCGTAACGGTAAATCTTCTATTTATTTGTGAGAAAAAAATGCAAAGTGGAAAGCAAAAGAAAAAAATGAGAGGGGGCCTGGGGACGTGACTAATGAACAGAAAAAAATGTTATTTTAGTGCCAGGAATGTCTGCCTTGTTTATTCTGGACCCTGTTTGGAAATTGGCATCTTTTGAAATTTGTGTGAAACTGGCAAAATTCTGACCACTTTATTGGATAGTTGGTAAATGGGTGGTTTCTTGTACTCATTCAGTAGAAAAAAATGGAGTTCTAGCGAAATAGTTATGATTTTTGTCGACTGGTACATTGGAATTGGCCAAAAATAGGGCTCAAAGTGGGCGAAATCACTGCTGCATAAACATCGTCGAGACTGCTAACTTTGCGAGAGCATAATTCCGCAAGTTTCCCATCAAATTTCATACTTTTGGTGTCATTATGATCAGGAAAAGATTCTCTATCATTTCATAAGATTTTTTTTTTTTTTTTTTTTTTCCAAAAAAATTTCTGACACTGAGAACAAGTTTAGGAGAGGGCCTGCCAACCCTGAAAGGGTTAACCCTTTGAAGGCCCGTCCCATAGTTCTACGGCCAGGGTCCAAGCCGTAGTACTATGCCACGAGCTCAGATTACTCGTATAAGCTGTGAGCGGTAAATTTGGGTCTAGACATGAGACTGCATCTATGTGGTAAGTGTGTACCATATAAAACAAATCCTGTAGTACGCAGTGCATAGTGTGAGGAAAAGAAACCAGACCTTTTTTTTTTTTTATTAAAACAGTGACTTTGCAGTGTATTTTTGTATGTTTTTTATGGTTGTATTCATAGTTTTGTGGTCTTAGTTGATAGAATAGAAATTATATTACAGAAAGAGAGATGATTTTGATTGCTTTTAGTACTGAAAATGGCTTGAAACCAAGCCCAAAGTAGCAGAAATGTTTGATTTTTGCCGATGTTCAACAGTAAACAGCTGTATAGTCCTTGTGGCTTAGCGCTTCTTTTTTGATTATAATAATAATAATCAACAGTAAACAAATGACGTCAAGCGTCCAATACACGTCGGCTGGTGGTTCTAATGTGTGGATATTATTTATACAATTATTACAATATTGCATAAGAATAAATCTTGTTTTTTGGTGTGAATAAAAAATCAAAGTGGATTTCATTTGTAAAGCCTGGAAACATAACTAATAAACAGAGGAAATGTTATTTTAGTGCCACTAATGCTTGCTTTGTTTATTCTGGACCTTATTTTGAAATTGAAATATTTTGAACTTTGTGTGAAATTGGCCAAATTGCCAATTTCCGATCACTTTATTGGGTATTTAACCCTTAAACGGTCCAAACAAATAGACGTTCAAATTCGTAATGCTACAAAAGTAGATCTACTTTTTTTAACATTTTCAAATGTAACAAAAAAAAAACATGTAGATAAAAGTTTTTTTTACACATTTTCAAATGTAAAACAAAAAAGATCTACATTTTTTTACATACTTTCAGATGTTGAAAAAACGTATATATACGTTTGGACCATTTAAGGGTTAAAATAGTTGACTGGGTGATTTCTTGTGCTCAATCAATAAAATAGAAGTAATACTAGCGAATTATTATTATTATAATCAAGGGGGAAGCACTAAACCCGTAGGATTATACAGCGCCTATGGGGGGATGGAAGGCATTCAGGCTTAATTCAGGGAACTGGAGCACAGATCCAATTCAATACTAGCAAAATAATTAAGAATTTGGTCAACTGGAATAATGTAACTGGTCTAAAATGGGAATCAGATTGGGCAAAATCACCAATGTGTAAATATCACTGATGCAGGAAAATTCACAAGCATAATTCGTCAATTTTCCATTAAATTTCATTACTTTGTTTTATTACGTTCAAAAAAAAGATTCTCTACCATTTCATAAGAAAAAAAATATTTTTTTTTAAATTCTTGGATCCTGAAAAGGTTTAAAAAAAAAAAAAAAAAAAAAAAAAAAAAAAAAAAAAAAAAAAGTATATCGGTAACATTTCTGCAAGTGGCAGGACTCCATGTTGCTGACACCTTGTATCTCTAAGTACAGGCCCTAAAAAAATTTTTTTTGGGACTCAAAGAAAATTGCCATTTAGAAACTAAATGAAAATATTCAGAGCCCTAACTAGCAGTAAAACGTAGATCAATGGTTTGACAGTTAAAAGGGTTAAATGTGTAAAATGACAAAAAGATCATAAGCTTGTTGAAAGCCAACTTTTTTGAACAAGCTAAAATAATTTTTTCATTTCAAATAAATCAAAATATATTGTATTAGTTAAGTAAAAGTAATAATACATAGCACTTTGATCACACACACACCCACTGCACTTCTAAAAATAATTCTCGGTATGTTGGTATAACAAGAATGGCTAGTGTTTATTGTATAGAGTAAAGCAAATGCAATGAAATTTATATCAAAGAAGACCATGTAATAATCATATTGAATGAGTGAAGAATCATGAAATAAGAGGAAATGCCCTCATAAATAAAGTTTGTTTATAAAACATTAAAACAAATTGTGATATTTAAAACATGCTGCTGTAATGTAAAGATAGTAAAAAATTTGTGACAGTATTACAACGATCACCATGCCGCCTTGGTACAAGACAACCGTCACAAAATGTTTCAGCATTAAGAATTCTGTAATTAGGAATTAAAGCTATAAACAGAAAAATGTTTACAGGTTGGAAGGCAAAGTAATAGTAAAATATAACCACACATTTCATACAGAGAAAACAAGACAATGTATATGGAATATTAAAAGTCTTCTGATCGCACTTCAACAACTTGCCCTTGTAAGGCAGCAAAAAAATGTTCCATATTTTCATCTCTAGGTCGTTCTCCTGTATGAATGACATACCGAGTGCTGTCATCTGCCTCAATAATGTGTACAGGTCTGGACATTACTTTTACTACTTTTGTATCACACATCAACTGTGCTGGTTCTTCTATTATAGTTTCCTGTGGACTAGTTTCTTCAGCCATCCTCACAGCATGCACTGCACGGGCTGCTTCCTCATCCTCGGCTACAATCAGGTCTTCGTGGCCCCCAACCAGTGCCAGCAAGCTTGGGGAATTAAATAATATATAGGCCTCAGCATTTTCCGTATGGCCATGGTTTGCTAAATGTGACGCGCACAGTGGTTTTCGCATAAAACCTGCACCACAAAGTTTGCACTCGTATGGTTTTTTGTCTGAATGGATGAACATGTGTGCATTACGGTTCTCTCTTGAAGCAAATGTTTTACCACAAATTTGACACTTGTGAGGTTTGACACCGGTATGTTTCCGCAAATGTCTTTTGAAATAATGTGGATAAACAAAGCTAGCATTACACAAGTCACATTTGTAGGGTCTTTGGCCAGTGTGAACACTATTCATGTGGTACACTAAAAGTCTCTTTCTTACAAAAGATTTTTGACACACCTGACAATGATAATTTTTTTCTTGTAAATGTGTTGCTTTGATGTGAGTGAGCAGATTACTTCTTTGTCTAAAAGTAGAACCACAGATTTCACACTGGAATGGTTTTTCACCAGTATGTGTCAGAGCGTGAAGTTCCAGTGTCTTTTGGCTTGACAAGGCCTTTCCACATAACTCACAAACAAAATTCCTAACTCCTTCATGAGATCTCATGTGTGTATTCAAATGATAGCGTGTATAAAATGCCTTATTACAAACTCTACAATTGTGAGGTCTGTCCCTATCCACATGGGTTTTTAAATGAGCTTTAAGGCGATATTTAGTTGCAAATGACTTTTCACACTCCTCACAGTCATAAGAATCTAAACGATTGTGAACTTTAATGTGATTTCTAACTGCAGCTTTAGTGAGAAACTGTTTCTCACATTCTGAGCAAGAAAATCTCTTGCCTTGCTTAACCTCCTCTTCCAATACTTCTTCTACAACTTCTAAGACATCACCTTGGATTTCCATAGCAACATCCCCATTCGTTATCGGTATGTCTGCTTCTCCAACATCTTCATTTATATCATCTCTATTTATGTCAGAGTCCTCTGTATTCTCAAACTTTTGTGGGTGAACTGGTGGGTCTAGATCACTCTGGAAAAGAACATACAAATGATGAGTGTCCAGCAATAGCCATAAGTGCACATAAAAAAAAGTAAATGATATGAAGTTTGAAAAAAAATTAGTGAAAATATTTTGTGCAAGTCAGTCAGTTTGCCAATACACTATATTTACACATTCATTTATCTAAGTGTACTATATATGCTGTACCATACGTCTGAAGTGTTGTTATCAATCCACAGGAATGTGTTGTGGTCCCTTACTACCTACATACTTTAAATTAGTTAAAATATAATTGAAACCAGCTTGTTTTCTCTTGCACAAAGAAAAAACAGGGATGTACAATACACTATCAATTAGAACATAACTAAATTCAGAAAGTTTGTTATAAAACAATTTGGAAATTGTAGCAGAAAAAATACAGAATGAGAAAAGGATCAGTGGTGAATGGTAGAAAATAGGAAGAAATAATCAATCTAAACAGGAAGTCATGGTTCTGCACACTGTGGATTGCTTTCCCTTGACGTTGCTGGGTTCTGAGAGACAGCAGGCACAGCTACTGTCATCAGTTGCCTTCTGAAGGTGTGTGAGAGATAGTGACTATAATATCATTCAATCTAGGATCTTCTCTTCACCCCATCTTGTCTCTGAATATTAAGCATGGTGCTCCAGGCTGAGGGACTGACAACCTCAAATCTACGACTTCAAGGGTGATGGACTGATTACATTGTCAGAAATATAACTAAAGGTGCCAGAAATATAACTAAAGTTCTGACTTCTGTCACACTCACATCTGGCTTTTCCTCACTCCTACAAAATGTTTTTTTACCTTTCTGCCCAATGCATGAAATAACTGATTTCATCTCCAAAATTTAGTAACTCCCCAAAATACTTCACCTTCCCATCTAATGACCATTGTTTTTGTTTTTAACTGCAAAATCCAAGGTTTCCAAGGCTTTCTTAACTTATTCGTCTCACTCCAAAACTTCTCATTAAAATTTGTGGATAAAACCCTCACCCATTTTCTCATTAGTTCTCCTTTTTGCACTTTTCTCCACTATTTACCTTTCTTTTACTCTATATACTCTAGCAAAATAAAATATGTACTTTCTTCTCCTTTACCACCCTCCCATACCCACAAACTTTTATTGCACACGCACACACGCATGCATGCACACGCGCGCACACACACACACACACACACACACACACACACACACACACACACACACACACACACAGAGCAAGAGAGAGAGAGAGAGCGCATTCTTAAATCTACCCCATATCTTTGACCTCATCCTCATGTACAATATTATTATTTCATGGTGTAAGAATTACACAAGATTAATATAGCTGCCCACACTGCCATTATTATTATTATAATAAAAACTAACTGCTAAACCCACAAAGATCATCAGCACTGACTAACACTCAATATTACAAATTATTCTCCCTGAAAAATCATAACACTGATCTTTCTGATATAGTAGTACTTCATTAATGTGATTGATTGTCTGGTGACAATCTTTTAGTCGATTATTACTCCTAGAAACAATCTATACAACACTCAGTATTTTATCCCAATTTATAATCGTGTGGTCTATTTTCAATTTCTCTTATTTTCATGTGCCACACTTATTAACTATAAATTTTGTCATGCATCTGTTTCCTCATTCACTCAGTTCTCTAAGTAAATTTCATTATTTTGCAGATGCAGAAAGTCCTATACAAAGTACCTCCATAGTGAGAAAATTTATGGAATCAAAAATTGCCAAGGCAATTAGTAGCCATCTTGAAAGGCATAAACTGATTAATGAATCTCATCACGGTTTTACAAAGGGGCCTTCCTGTCTTACGAATTTACTAACTTTCTTCACTAAGATATTTATGTAGATCATGGTATTGAATATGATATTGTGTATATGGACTTCAGTAAAGCTTTCGATAGAGTTCCACATTAGAAGTTATTGAGGAAACCTAAGGCACATGGAATAGGAGGAGAAATTTTTTCTTGGGTATAGGCATGGTTGACAAATAGGCAGCAGAGAGTTTGCATAAATGGAGAGAAATCAGAATGGGGGCACATCACAAGCGGTGTTCCTCAGGGGTCAGTGTTGGCCCCTTGTAGTTCACAATCTACATAAATGACATAGATGAGGAAATAAATAGCGACATAAGCAAATTTGCTGATGACCCCAAAATAGGCCGTCCAATTCATTCTAATGAGGACATTAGTGAACTCCAGGATGATTTGAATAGACTGATGCAGTGGTCGGAGAAGTGGCAGATGCAGTTTGATATAGACAAATGCAAAGGTCTAAATGTTGGACAGGAAAATAACAATGCCACATACAGACTAAATAACGTAGATCTTAATATTACGGATTGCGAAAAGGATTTAGGAGTTCTGGTTAGAAGTAATCTGAAACCAAGACAACAGTGCATTAGTGTTCGCAATAAAGCTAACAGAATCTTTGGCTTCATAGCAAGAAGTATAAATAATAGAAGTCCTCAGGTTGTTCTTCAACTCTATATATCTTTGGTTAGGCCTCATTTAGATTATGCTGTGTAGTTTTGGTCACCGTATTACAGAATGGATATAAATGCACTGGAAAATGTACAAAGGAGGATGACAAAGTTGATCCCATGTATCAGAATTCTTCCCTATAAGGACAGACTTAGGGCCCTGAATCTGCACTCTCTAGAAAGGCATAGAATTAGGGATAATATGATTGAGGTGTATAAATGGAAAACAGGAATTAATAAAGGGGATGTAAATAGGGTGTTAAAAATATCTAACATAGACAGGACTCGCAGCAATGGCTTTAAATTGGAAAAATTCAGATTCAGGAAGGATATAGGAAAGCACTGGTTTGGTAATAGAGCTGTGGATGAGTGGAACAAACTCCCGAGTACCGTCATAGAAGCTAAGACGTGTAGTTTTAAAAATAGATTGGATATATACATGAGTGGGTGTGGGTGGGTGTGAGTTGGACCTGACAGCTTTTGCTACTAGGTCAGAAGCCGTGCTCCTCCCTTAAGTGACGTGTCTGACCTCACTAGGTCAAGGCATTGGCTTAAGCTGGTGGGAGAATTTGACCTGCCTCGCATAGGCCAGTAGGCCTGTTGCAGTGTTCCTTCTTTCTTATGTTAAGTACTGACTGTTATAGAACACTCTGAAAGTTGGTGACAATATTCCTGAAGACAATCTTCCTCTTATGAGTTGCATTTTCCTTGCAAACATAACCTTTCTCATCAACTGTAACAGTAAATGAAACTGTATTTTTGAAAAGAAAATGTGAATAATAAGTGAAACACGAACAGTATGCTTGTTTCAGTGCATCGAGTCATGCTGGGCTCCCATAATAATTAGCAAGAAGACAGAATGATTGAGGGAGCTCCTTTCTATAAAACCTCAGAACGAAAATCTAGAAAATACTGCGGTTCCAATTAAGTACAATTTCCAGACCACACAAGACCCATTAAAAACAAAAAATACAAGGCTCCCTCATGTTTTGCTAATCAAATCAAAATATTATCTACTTACCATGATATCCTCCTTCTTAATAGTTTTTAGGGAATGAGGGGACTTTAAGGCTGCAAACAAAGTTACATTATTAAGTTCATCATCTTGTTCCAATTCCAACTTCACTATGGTCTCTGCAGGAGACTTCTTAGGACTGCTTCCTCTTGGTCTTCCCCGGGGTCGCCCTCTTTCTCTCCCACGGGGTCGGCCTGGTGGCCTTCCTCGGCCTCGTCCACGACCACGCCTCTTTCCTGAAAACATGAGACGTACTCCCGAGACTCATCACAGCAGACATGCTTTATTTAAAAAGTTATATTTATCTTTCGATCAAATTATTATTATTACATTCATGGAGGAAAGGCCTAGGAAATAGAAGGTAATCAGGTTTGATACAATGAAGTGAAGGGTAACTCAAGTTCTTTGAATCAGAAACCCTTTACCAGAATCAAGGAACCTTCCCTTGAAGTATCTTTGAAAATATCTAATGTCTCATAACTTAGGAAATGCCTGCCAATCCAACAATAATAAGAGAAAAGACTGCTGAGTGCAGTAGGGCCCCACTTATATGGCGGGTTAGGTTCCAGGCTATCATCAACAAACTTCAATCTATTAAACCAAGTATAGGTTACTGGCCGTCTTCTTATCACCAGTGTCGAGGTTGGGAGCCTACTCTCTCCCGTCTTCGCATTGGCCATACTCGTCTTACTCATGGAGAGGCGCCCTGCTCCTCTCTGTGAGAATTGCCAAGCTCCATTATCAGTCGGCCACATTCTGTTGGACTGCCCGCTTTATCAACGAGCACGCAGAATTTACCTCCGTCGTCGTCTTTGCTCCGCTGCTCTCTCTTTACCTTCCCTTCTCGCTGATGGACCCATTTTTCATCCGGACTCTCTCATTGACTTTTTGACAACAACTGACTTACTTCACAAATTCTGATACCTTCAGCCCTTTCTACTTCAATCTCTTGCTACCCTCTACCCCCGTACTATCCCCTGCCCCGCTGTTTTCTGTAACCTACTGATCATCCCTCCTCCCTTCTGCCATCCAATACCCTCGCTTCCTTCCCTACCCTGCAGCGCTGTATAGCCCTTGTGGCTTAGCGCTTCTTTTTTATTATAATAATAATAATCCAGGCTATCGCTGGAAAGCAGACATCACCGGAAAGCATTAAAAACACAAAAAGTAAAATACATTCACAGTACATCCATTACCTATCTTAAAGTATTTGTAATCTTAATGTAGGGAGAGAGGCGAGTAGTACTTATTTGTAGGAAGTCAGGTGTAGGTAGCCCTGGCTCCCCGTCTCATACTTAATATACGATATTTAAAACATCCCAGAGTTAAAATACACATACAGTACACTCACTATTTACCTTAAAATATGTGTAGTCTTAATGTAGGAAGAGAGCTGAGTAGTATTTATTTGTAGGAAGTCAGTGTAGGTAGGTGTAGCCCACCTGGGCTACACCTACCGGCTACCTACACTGTGGCCCAGAGCCATATTATTAGCATTGACATACCTGGTTCACTGAATTTAATCGTTTCTAACATATACCTTTAGATGCCATCATAAACGAAGGGAGAAGTACATGTAATGAATAATTCATGCCGAAAATTGTAAACAAAAGCGGAGTGGGGGAGTGGCTGGGCCAAACACAGATTCATACATATTTTCTCTGGTGCCTGACCAGAGAAAACGTAATGTTATCCCTCCGCCCGGCTACCACACAGTTCCACAAGTATTATTATCAGAGCACATAAAATATGCAATAAATACCAGGCAACAAGTTTACACTAACTTATATTAAGTTAGCAATAGAAATAGGCAAAAAACAAAAAAAAACAATAAAAGGTAAGATACACACAGAGTACACTTATTACTTACCTTAAAATATTAATATTAATGTGTGAGAGGTAAGTGGCAGGGTATTTATTGAATAAAATCAGAATGGCACACTATCATCCCCTAACTTGGCACTTAAAGCAAGAGGCTTACCACTCCTCTTTTTATCACAGCTAAGCTTAGACGCCATCGCCAATGACAGCCAACTAGTTAACGAAAGAGTAAACGAGAGAGAGAACGAGATACAGAGTTCAGACAATGTAAGAACACAAACTGAACAGGTAGTGGGCGATCACTTTGTCAGGCGAAATAAATGCGTATTAATGTGTGTCTGCTTTTAGTTCATTCACGTACGTTTGTAAGAGCTTGTAAAACTTTTACCTCACAATATTTTTTTTTATTATAATAATTACCTCACAATACAAATACTCTTACATTGTGTACAAGTTGTACAAGTTAGTACAGAATAAACAAACAGCAACACTCCCATTCTCATGCAACACACCATTTTTAGAGTGAATGAAGATGATGATATTATTATCATCATAATAAAAAAGTGCTAAACCCACAAGGGTTGTGAATTGCTATATATAGAGTGAAGGCATACAAAAGGAATATTTTTCTACAGGTATCCCCCAGTGTTTGACTAGAGAAAACATAATTCTTCCGACACTACCTACCAAGCCGCCTTGTAAACAAATCTCGTATTTACGTCAATTTTTATTCTGTGAGTGTATGTTTCATGTTTATATGCTATGTAACGTATTTCTTATATAATTTTGAGGAAAATATCATAGATGGATTAATGAAAATGTCTATATAATGCAAAATAAGACATTTAATGTACCCAAGAGTGATGATTATTACATACTATTGGCATCATGAGTAGAGAGAGACTTAGCAATTTTAATGTGTACCTGCACACCAGCACAGTAAGTATATTTAGGTACAGGTACACTTTTTTTTTTTTTTTTTTTTCAACAAGTCGGTCGTCTCCCACCGAGGCAGGGTGACCCAAAAAAAGAAAGAAAATCCCCAAAAAGAAAATATACTTTCATCATCATTCAACACTTTCACCACACTCACACATTATCACTGCTTTTGCAGAGGTGCTCAGAATACAGTGGACCCCCGGTAAACGAACTTTTTTCATTCCAGTAGTATGTTCAGGTGCCAGTACTGACCGAATTTTTTCCCATAAGGAATATTGTGAAGTAGATTAGTCCATTTCAGACCCCCAAACATACACGTACAAACGCACTTACATAAATACACTTACATAATTGGTCGCATTTGGAGGTGATCGTTAAGCGGGGGTCCACTGTATAACAGTTTAGAAGCATATACTTATAGAGATACACAACATATCCCTCCAAACTGCCAATATCCCAAACCCCTCCTTTAAAGTGCAGGCATTGTACTTCCCATTTCCAGGACTCAAGTCTGACTATATGAAAATAACCGGTTTCCCTGAATCCCTTCACTAAATATTACCCTGCTCACACTCCAACAGATCGTCAGGTCCCAAGTATCATTCGTCTCCATTCACTCCTATCTAACACGCTCATGCACGCTTGCTGGAAGTCCAAGCCCCTCACCCACAAAACCTCCTTTACCCCCTCTCTCCAACCCTTTCGAGGACGACCCCTACACATAAGGTACACATAAGTATAATTATCAGAGTACATATAAAATGTGCAATAACTGTAAAGCACTTGAAATTTTGGAAAGTTTCCAGACATAATAGATGTGGTCAAGGAGAATGTAAACAAACCGGGTGGGGGGGCGCCGTATTTGAAAGACCGCTTGCCGTATAGCAAATTTTGGTCATAATTTGACATCGCCATATTAGCAGAATGCCGTAAAGCGGGGCCCTACTGTATTCTTGATCTAATCCACTCCATTCCCATCTTCTCATCCTCTTGAGACTTTCTGTACTGCCCTCCTGTTCTTTTCTAGGATGTTGGTTGTAAAGTAGTACTTCCAGAATGGAGAATGTCTGTACCTGGGTTCAGGGAAAGAAAGAAATCAAGATGCCTCCCATGTAGAGGCAGGTGTAACTCTGTATAGGCACAAATTGCCAGAAGTACCGCACCATCCTGTGTACAAGGAGGATTCCTAGTGAATGAGATCATGAAGAAACTTGACAGTGAGACCAAGTATACTTGGTTTCTATTGTACAGCTGAGATATTAATCTCAAAGGAAATGTGCATTAAAACTAAGCTATGAACTCTCATTTTATTTTGAGGAACTTTTAAATGTTGAGGAAGAAAGGGAGGCGGTAATTTCATGCACTGGCCAGGGAGGTATACCATCTTTTAGGAGTGAAGAAGAGCAGAATGTAAGTGTGGTGGAGGTACGTGAGGCATTATGTAGAATGAAAGGGGGTAAAGCAGCTGGAACTGATGGGATCATGACAGAAATGTTAAAAGCAGGGGGGGATATAGTGTTGGAGTGGTTGGTACTTTTGTTTAATAAATGTATGGAAGAGGGGAAGGTACCTAAGGATTGGCGGAGAGCATGTATAGTCCCTTTATATAAAGGGAAAGGGGACAAAAGAGATTGTAAAAATTCTTTCTTCTTTCAACACACCGGCCGTATCCCACCGAGGCGGGGTGGCCCAAAAGGAAAAACGAAAGTTTCTCCTTTTACATTTAGTAATATATACAGGAGAAGGGGTTACTAGCTCCTTGCTCCCGGCATTTTAGTCGCCTCTTACAACACGCATGGCTTACGGAGGAAGAATTCTGTTCCACTTCCCCATGGAGGATTGTAAAAATTATAGAGGAATAAGTTTACTGAGTATACCAGGAAAAGTATACGGTAGAGTTATAATTGAAAGAATTAGAGGTAAGACAGAATGTAGAATTGCGGATGAGCAAGGAGGCTTCAGAGTGGGTAGGGGATGTGTAGATCAAGTGTTTACATTGAAGCATATATGTGAACAGTATTTGGATAAAGGTAGGGAAGTTTTTATTGCATTTATGGATTTAGAAAAGGCATGTGATAGAGTGGATAGAGGAGCAATGTGGCAGATGTTGCAAGTTTATGGAATAGGTGGTAAGTTACTAAATGCTGTAAAGAGCTTTTATGAGGATAGTGAGGCTCAGGTTAGGGTGTGTAGAAGAGAGGGAGAATACTTCCCGGTAAAAGTAGGTCTTAGACAGGGATGTGTAATGTCACCATGGTTGTTTAATATATTTATAGATGGGGTTGTAAAAGAAGTAAATGCTAGGGTGTTCGGGAGAGGGGTGGGATTAAATTATGGGGGAAACAAATTCAAATGGGAATTGACACAGTTACTTTTTGCAGATGAAAACTGTGCTTATGGGAGATTCTAAAGAAAAAATTTCAAAGGTTAGTGGATGAGTTTGAGAATGTGTGTAAAGGTAGAAAGTTGAAAGTGA